GTTATATATCACTTGTACTTGGCTTCCTATACATATATGTCTTCATATCTATGAACTTTTCACTTGGGCTGCTTCCAGCTCCAAGGAGCTCCCCAGCCAGTATCTTCAGGGCCAACTGTAGCCACCAGGAGCCAAATCAAAACACCTTCATCATGAAAACTTCATTTTCCCGTTTAAAATTTATCTCGGCACCATTTCAACTTCTATAGCATTTTTAACTGTACACTTCCCGTAAGGTATGTAATTACGTTCTCTCTTGTAATTCTTGTTTGTCAGAACCTTAGCATCCCCACAATGTCAGACACAATGCCCCGTCGCAGTAGATTACAAACGAGTGTCCACAGAATGACAGAGCCACCCCACTCACTGGGCCGAAGGTAGAGGTCCGAGGAAGCTGCGGCGATCCGTTCCCGCTCCTTCTCCCGCTCCCTTTCCCGCTCTCTTTCAGCACTTGCAGCGGCTGCAAGGTGTGTTGAGTGTCCTGTAAAACACATAAATCTGCAACTTAAAGACAAAAATATTAACCTATCAGGTACAATTCAATTTCAAAATTCTTAACTGAAATTTTTTCAAAATGTTTCATATTTAAAATGTAGGAAGTTCATTTTATTATTCTTAGACAATAAATAGAGCCTAACACAAGTTACTTTAGGATATTTCTAGAGTACCTAGTTACAGGCAGGTAGCAATAGCAACTATTACTATATATTAAATGAAAAATACAGACCATATAAGGGAAAAGTGTCCCAAATACCTCCAAAGGCTATGCTGTTAATCCTGGAGCGCATGGTCATATCAGAGAGGTATGTGAGTGTGTGGACTCTTACCTGGAGACATAGAAGCAGAGTTGTATGGCCTGGGAGGGAACGTAATCTGTGTACCAGGAATATAAGTGATTCTGTCCATGGGAGGAGTACTTGTTCCCCCTGGGTGAGGCACTAAAATTGCTGGAGGCATATTGGTCAGATCAATGATTCCTGCTCAAACAAAAGACAAATACAATAAAATTATCTTAAGTATTATTCTAAAGATATAGAACTACACATGGCTTTGTTGTTGTTGTTTATCTCTATAACCCAATGATACACTGTGTTCAGTACAAATAAAGATGTTTAAGAACTTCATCACTTTGTAAGACTTTCTTTGAATCTAGAGAAGGATATGAAATACTTTGCCTCACATGGACTTATGAGACAGAAAAATAGTAAAACAATGACTTCAATAGCACAGTGACTTGGTTTACTTATTTCAGTGTTCACCAAAATACCCTGTCTCAATACATTACTTTGCCTTCAAGGGCTAAAGGCTATAGAAAAAAGTAATGCCTTCTTTTCTTTTTTTTTTTTTGCATAGTTTATTCTACAAATTTTTTATTGAGTACCTAGGACACCATGGGTACACACAGTAAGTTCTATGAAATCTGAACTGCGAAGACACAGACCCCTTGTTGCTGGGTACGGGAGACCCAGCTGCTGCTCTCGCGGGGAGAGTCCTCTGGCCACATCTGGGCGCAAGTTCACTTGCATCTGCTGTGAGGTGATGTAGTCATTTAGGATTGTCTGTCTCGTATTCTCCATTGCATAAAGCTGGTACTGACTTGGGTAACCTGGCGTAGGTGAAAGCTGTCTCTGAAACAGGTAAGCAGCAGCAGCTGATTGAGAGAATGAGAGAAAGGCATTTCATTTAGTCTAAACATCATTCACAAAAAAGAGTAAGGAAACAACAGTCTATGGCGCTAATGCACACATGCATCATCTTTTATTTAGCATGGGACGGTGCTGAAGAGAGAAAGATGGATTCATTTTAGACCTTGATATATATCTATATATCAGCAATATTTAATATACACATTCTAATGTCAGATGTAATGGAAAAGGGGAAAGAGAAACTAGACAAAATATGACTATTAACCTTTTACCAGGAGAAAAGGTGCTAAAAAAATTTCCCAAGTAGTTTCAATCTTTGCCATGTACCTTTATTATATTTTCACCTGAAGTCTCTACTAGCTGTTTGAAAATAAAATTATTTTTAAAGTACTGATTGTCCAACATGACCAAATGGAGATGTGTGTGAAAACACTTTGTGACAAACAGTAACTTTACTTCCATGGGGGTGACAATGACTAGTCCATTAACATTTAATCAGTCCATGTGTTTAGGGAGAGATTAGCAAACTTTTCCTATAAAGGGCAGGTGTCAAAAATCTTATGGTCTCTGCCATTGGAGCCACAAACAGAAACAAATGCATGTGGCTATGTGCTAATAAAGCTTTATTTATACCAACAGGCAGGATCAGAATTTTGTCCCCAGGTCATAGTTTGACAACCCTAGGCTAGAGAATGACACAAGATATTAGGAAGGGGTAGGTATGGTAAAAAGAAAAAGGTAACACCTCTATCCTCAAAACATTTGTAATCCAGCAAAAACTAAAATATGACAAGCAAATCAAAGTGCAATAAAATAAAGGATTGTAATAAACACTAAATAAAACTGTATTAACATTCAACTTTTTC